TTTACAAAACTAGAACTCGAAAGAACCATAAAAAAATGTTGCATTCGAGGTTTTGAAAATATGACATTTTTGAGTAATGAAAAAAGTAAGTATATTCATCTCACTTTATTTCTATGTTGCTAACTTTAGGAGGCGTTTACGCTTGAGGAAATGTCAAGCATTTTGAGAAGCAAATGTGAAATATATTTAGTGCGATATATATGTGAATTACTCCGATTCATTGATTTACAGAGGATTCCGCTGTTGTAATAGAAAAAGCCATAATTGATATTTGGTAGTACTTCATTCGTCGCTTGTATTCTCATTCGGACCAAAATTTATGGCACCCTTCGAGGGTCCTCAGCAAAAAATAAAATTTTAAGATGGTCGGTTTGAGTTCCTATTTTTTTTTTTTTAAATCCATTTTCTTCTTCCATTTTCCATATTTTTTCAACTTACCTATGTGTACAACTACTCTGCACATGTGAACATTTTCTCTTTTTTTTTTTTTTGTGGACACATTTAGACTTTTGACAAATGAGTTATCCCTTAGGAATGTTTTCAATGCGTAGATGTGAAAATTACATAAGTCATTAGTTTATGACATTGCATAAGAATAGTAAGATGATTGATCTATTGTCTTAGTTGGTTGCTACTTTCTTTTACTCCCTCCGTCCCACAATTATTATCCACTTTGCCTAAAAAATTTTGTCCCAAAATTATTGTCCAATTTGACTTTTTATGGATCAAGTTACACATTTGTCCTTAGTAAGAAACATTATCCATAAAATCTTAGTGGTTAAACAATTACTTATGTAGGGGTATATCCGGTTGTTTAAGGTAAAATATAGTTAAGTTTGACCAAAAATAAAATCTTTCATTTTAGAAAAACTGGACAATAATTATGGGACGGAGGGAGTAACTTAAAACCGTAACTAGACTATTTTCTACGTACATGTATAAATAAAATACTTTTATTGTTTAAGAAAAAATTAAGTTGCTACACATTTGATTATTTTCGATCTCTGGAGTTTATTTTGAATTGCGAAACATATATTTCTGGCCAGCAGTATGCATGTTACGTCATGGATTAAATAATTTAGAGTGAATGGCGATGACCTAGTACTTAATCTTGTTCAGTACGATGTTCATATTAAAGTATTTAACTTCTACTCGGTACCAAGAGTAATGTACCTACGTAGTTTCGTGGTTCTTTTCAATAGTTGTAGCAGTTCTAAAACATATATAGACAATAGTGGGTACTACTACATTATTACTATAAAATTAAATGCAGCTAATTAATTAGACCACCAGCCAACAAGAAAACAAGAACAGCAGCCAAAGTGACAGCTGCTGATTCTTCCAAATTCTTTTCCCATTATATGTGCTGATCGATCCGCAGCCCCAAGTAGTTCAGGGAATAAAATTCTGAAATTTTTGAACCCCAATTTACTAAATCTTCCATGTACTTTAAATTTTAAATAAACTTTACAAATGTAAATGTGATCTTCTTTCCTTATTTTTTTCGAGTCGGAAAATGAAGTTCATAGTAGACCAAAATTCGATGGATATCTAGGTTCATTTACAATATTAATGCAAAGCCCACATCATGGTTCCAGAAATGAAAGTTTTACCAAGGGTAAAAAGAAAAATAAAAATAAAAATACTACTCCCTCCCTCCGGTACTTATTATAAGACATTTTGATTTCGTCTTAGGTTTCATCTGGAACGTCTTTTTAATTGGAAAAAAACCTTAAAAATATATTTTCATATTCGTTGTATTCTCCTAATTACTATGAAATATTTTTAAGATTTTTATTTCAATTAAAAAGACATTCTAGGTGAAACCTAGACAAAATCAAAATGTCTTATAATAAGGATCGGATGGAGTATTTTAGAGTACATGAAAGGGTTGACCAGTGACTTCGTTTGGGAAAGAAAGGAAATACTTTATGTATTTTATTTATTTATTTATTTATTTATTTTTGGGACAAACTTAAATCTAGTGGTAATAACAATGCATCGTTCGGTTTCAAAAAATAAAAAAAATTAAAAACAATGCACTGTTACTATAACTTCCATTCAACCCAGAAAATACTTGATGTATATGCATGATTAAAGTGTGTATTGTTTTTACACAACCTATAATATTGAGATGTCGTCATTAGACTCGCTTTAACTTAACCCTGAAGTTCTTCCTCATAATTAATCAATGAATAAACAAAATCATCAATTAGTTCCAATGATTTGGATGATGAAAAGAGAAGTTCTTTCTAACTCATACTACCTACGACCTACATTAAAAAGAAAAGCATAAAAAAAAACTACCTTCCCACGTCAATAACTTATACTCTCATCTTCTTTTGTATATCTAATTAACAGATTAAACTATTTTTATTTTTTTCAACGAAAAAATATCTCTACCTAAAGAATAAAGATATGTAACTAGTACAATCAGTGATCATGATCAGGTTTATATTCCAACTGCAACTTCCTTTATCAAAATTCAAAGATTCTCATGACACAAACAAAAACACAAAACAAAGAAACGTACGCATTGTGAAGATTCGATATAAAGTTTCTCTAATATTTCGATTGGGCTTGAAGTCTATAATACTCAAATTAATCAAAGTTACAATAATGAATCTTTGAGTTTGATTATTCAAAAAAATAAAAATAAAAAAAACTTTCAGTTTGAGGTCTTACATGCCTGTTTTTTTCGGTTAATCGCTGGCTTTTACTTATATTTTCTATATAATATATATATATATATATATATATTATATATATATGTGTGTGTATGTTTACGTCTTAAAACACATATTTACCTTTTGAATTTTTTTTTTTTCCTTTTACATTTTCAACACAGAAAGATACTAGAAAATGATTCAAACAAAGACTTAAGGTTTCAGATTCAGTATTGGCCATAGTTTAGTTGAAGTGGTACATAAAAAATTATAAATAATAAGTGATATGTTAATTTTTAATTGACTAAAAAAAGATATGATCATTGTTGGGGAAGAGAGGTTGACCGTTTGTCTGTTATTTTACCGTCATTAGCTAAGATCTAATTATTTCTTTGAAGTTTAGTGTGAAATTCCGAACGACAAAACCATATTTTATATATTTGAGTAGCGATAATAATCGAATATCTTACTATTTTAAAGTGATATTTTATGAAATTAAAATACATAAATACGTGAATGTCACAAAGATATATAAAAGCGTTTCTAAAGATCCAAAAATCAACATGTACCACCAGGTAGGTTTTGGATTAATCCCTTGTGTGTGATTACGTTTTTGGTGGCGTTTTTCTCAACTTTTTTCTTTTGTGGGGAAAAAAAACAACTTTATTTTCGTTAATTTAGAATTATTATTTAGCAGAAAATAACATTTGACTACTATGTTTAGGTTTACAATAAATATAAACTGGTATATTTGCTCTTATAGCTAGGTGTGCCCATTTCCTCATTGTCCCATCATTTTATATCTACAAAATTCATATTTATTTTACAGAGTTATATCGGTCCTCATCAATTCCCGTTTGACTTTTCCATCTTTTATGAATTTTGTAAATTGTAGATCATCTTACTGTTGACTCTCTGACCAATTTTCCCTTTCTCAACAATTTTTAATTACCAAATCATAGTAGTTTTGAGTACAGCTTGAAGGACGGTAGCGAGTAATGAGTTTTGTCTAAATAGTTCTGACAATTAAATTAATAATCATCTCATTAAAATAGAGAGAAAAAAAAAAAGAAAAGTTGTGAGAGTGAGAAGTGTTGGCAATTAGAGATTTATAATCAACCTTTAAATTATAAACCTAATAATGGAATAATCATGGCCCCATCAAGAATGCAGATGAAAAAAACAAATAAAAGGATATATAGATGCCCCAAAAAGCATAATCCATTATTGATAGCTTTTCGCATGCACCAAGTATGGAGTGATGGGGTAAATGATAATTAACATTATCTTTGAGCCATTTTAGACAATTATTTGATGCATCTATGTATTAAAGATACGAGTCATTGCGGGTGAAACTTTTGTGCACATCTCTTATTCAATACGTTTGGTACTTTTGAATCGTGTCTAGTCGTCAAGAGAGATAAGAAAAATGAAAATAAATCCATGTAAATTAATGAAAAAGTTTATGAAAGTAAAACTACTCGGTTAGGTGTTCGTTCAAATCCCTTTTAGCAATAAGAATTAATAGGCATCAGAAATATTTTTCCCGTCTAAAAATAATTATCCTATTTAAATTTTCAATTTTATTATATATATAATATATATACTACAATAAAGATATAAAATAGTTATATATTTCTGGAAAAAAAAAGGAGTATTAAGTTCTCATTGTATTAGTAGCTTCAACTTGGATTGTTGATCTATATCAACTGATGGATCGATGTATCTTGCTATGTTCAAACAAACTATAAATCTAATGTACTATATTGTGATTTTACTTCATCAAACTAGTTAAAGTTAAACCGATTAACACAATAAAAACTTCTAAACTCCATCTAAACTCCATACATGAGCACAGTGAAGAAAAAACAATCATAGCCGAGGCACATAATTTTTTATTTTTTTATTTTTTGGTACATAATTTAAACCTTCACTAGCTTACATACCTCTTGGCTTGTAATTAAGAAAAAAAATAGATACTATTTAATACTAATAAAAATGTAAACGATTTTGTTTTAAGTATTTATTGCTATTGTATTGGGGAATTTAATTTTTAGATGACACAAATCCAACAACAACTTTAGAACTGAGACAAAGTCTAATTTAAGGACAATCTTTGTCCCAATTAGTGAAAGTTAGCCTGAAAAATATTCCCTCTGTCCCAAAATTATTGTCCAGTTTGAGTTTTAATTTTTAATTTAAATTATACTAAATGTGAAATCTCAAACTGAACAATAATTTTGGGACGAAGGGAGTAACTTTACTCTGTCATAACATCTTCTTAATCCTTGTAAACAAAAATCAATATCATTTCATCCCTATAATGGATAAATATGTTTTCACTCAAAACGTTGCCACCTTGCAATCTTGATCCGCAATGTATTCTCATTTCTCCGTTATGACGGAATGAGAGGTTACGTTTTGTCATCTCTTTGTTGCAAAATTTGTTGGCTGATGAAATGAATTTTATTAGTACTTGCAGTAAAGTACTTTTGATTACGTCAAAATTCTGTAATAAATCAGACAGCCAAAGAAATCTAAATTCTAAAATCCTAAGTACTATATTAAAACGGTGTTTGTCAGCTGCGGACTGCGGTGACTGGTTGAGTGGTGATGAGAGTGGGAAAACACGCACTCACACACTAAGAAAAAATTAGCAAGCCAAGAAAAACAGATTCGCTGAGAAAAAAAAGAGGAAAAAACGCCTCTTCTTCCCATCCAGTTTCCCTTCTTTTATGCCATCCCCTTTTGTCCAATTACCTCACCGGCAAAAACCCATTACCGTATTTGCCGGAATAAGAAAAACCCTCTTGCATTTTCCGGCGAGCTGCATTGCCTCGCTTCAAAGATTCAATCTTTGAGTCATTTTTGTGGCTGGATCCCAGTTCAGTGAAATTTAGCTCACTAATTTTGAAGATGAATGTCTGCTAAGACTGAAAAGATGTCGGTATATGATGCTTCGTTTGTGAACAGTGAATTGTCGAAGCCAACTTCAATCTTTGGGTTGCGGTTATGGGTTGTGATTGGGATTTTTGTGGGAGCTGTAATTGTGTTGATTCTGTTCCTATTGTCTCTCTGCATCACTGCCTACCGCCGCCGCGCCGGAAGCAAGTCTAAGCTTCACCACCGTCCGGGAAAATTCTCCGGTGTTGCCGGAGCTGGAGAGCTCACCCCTGTTGTTTCTAAGGAAATCCAGGAGATCGTCCATGACGCCCATCCCGATCATCGTCCCATTGTCCCTCAGGTAATTTTCTTTTCTTTGATCTAACTTAATGTTCACATTAATTTTCTATATTCAATTTCTTAATAATTAAAGAAAGAAAAAAAAATTGTCCTTTCATGAAGAAATGCTGAGCCAATGGAGCTGGAAGAGTTTTCTTAATATGCATTGCTGAATTTTGTGGGAATTTATTTTTTCTTTTTCTCTTAATTTGATTTAGGGGTTGCCGGAGATTCAGATAGATATGGGGAAGGTGGAGCACAGGGTGGTGTTTTCTGATAGAGGGGCATCGAGCGGAGAGAGTAAGGCAACAAGTGGGGCCGAAACGGGGTCGTTTGGTGGCAGCGGTTCGTTGCCGGAGGTGTCGCACTTGGGGTGGGGAAGGTGGTACACTTTGAGGGAGCTTGAGGCGGCCACCGATGGGTTTGCCGATGAAAATGTGATCGGTGAAGGTGGATATGGGATTGTTTACCATGGTATACTGGCTGATAATACCCGAGTAGCTGTAAAGAATCTGTTGAACAACAGGTTGGTAAATTGTTTCCTTTTTTTACCCTCCCGTGGATTTGGTTTTGATTTCTTACCTTAAATGCAAACTCCAAGAGATGTTACTATTCCAGAATTCCATTTTGTTTCCTCAAGAAGCAACAGTGCAGAATTGTCTTTGTTACACTTCGTTGTGTTATGATTACTTTTTAGCTTTCTATCTTGCATTGGATTAGTTGGAATATTGGTATTTCAAATAATTGGATGGCAGGTCACGAGGATCATTTCGTTTGACATCCAATTCCACCTTACAATTTTACCATTTCTAGACATAGTTATAATTCAGATTAAGTGACTACAACCAAAGGCTGTGTAGTACAGTGATCATGTTGTGGAGTGCGTGAAAAATTCTTTAGCAGCTTTAAGTTTTGTAGATTGCTTTTGATTCCTTTATTCTTTGCTTCAAACTCTATTATAAGAATGTGAATATTGTTATTCTTTTTCACTTTTTCTTGCTGCTGCTTGAATTGATTGAATTCGAAATTTCAATTTTAGCGGCATAATTTTATATTTATCTTCTCTGATGATTTAGCTTATTTGAAATAATGATTTATCAGGGGTCAAGCAGAGAGGGAGTTCAAGGTCGAGGTGGAAGCTATTGGTCGCGTGAGGCACAAGAATCTGGTTAGGTTGCTTGGGTATTGTGTTGAAGGAGCTCATCGGTAAGAAACATTTGAAGTTCAAGACTTCACATTGTAGGCCTTATGATGCGCGAAAAATTTGACAGTATTTCTTATTATTGGTTTCTTACAGGATGCTTGTTTATGAGTATGTTGACAATGGAACTTTGGAGCAGTGGCTTCATGGTGATGTTGGGGAAGTCAGTCCTCTGACTTGGGATATCCGGATGAATATAATACTGGGAACGGCGAAAGGGTAAAATATTTGAGATTATGATTTATTGAATTGGTTGTGTTCAGTAGAGATACTTTAACAGACTGAGTAATTGTCTTTTTCTCATCTGCACAGCTTGGCTTATTTGCATGATGGTCTGGAACCAAAGGTTGTTCACCGCGACATTAAATCGAGTAACATACTCCTTGATCGTCAATGGCATGCGAAGGTGTCAGATTTTGGACTAGCAAAGTTGTTAAATTCGGAGAGGACTTATGTGACTACTCGAGTCATGGGAACATTTGGGTAATCCACTGCTTTCACTTTTTTAAAACTCAAATGATTTTCCTGTCTACAGGATTCATATTAACCATTCCAAGCAGATTTTCACAAGTGCCTCCTTCCTTTGCTAGATATGTGGCACCAGAATATGCTTGCACTGGTATGTTGAATGACAAGAGTGATGTGTATAGCTTTGGAATACTCATTATGGAGATTATTACTGGTCGATCTCCTGTTGACTATAGCAGACCACAAGGAGAAGTAAGTTTTCCTGTTTGTATATTATCAGTTTATCACACAGCATTTGAGTTGCCATATATTTGCTTTCTTTGGAAAATTCTAACATAGCCAGCGTGAACCAAATGACAGGTCAATCTGGTGGACTGGTTGAAGACCATGGTCGGGAATCGAAAATCTGAGGAAGTGGTGGATCCTAAATTGCCTGAAATGCCTGCTTCAAAAGCTTTGAAACGCGCTCTTCTGGTTGCTCTTAAATGTGTCGATCCCGATGCTCAAAAGAGACCCAAGATGGGGCATGTAATCCACATGCTCGAGGCAGATGACCTTCTGGTATATGATGCCTCTACCCTGTACATTTTATTCCTTAAAATGCTGCTATATCTGAATGTATCATAAAAGAAGTAGACAGGTGTTTCTATATGTTCATATCTTTTCTGCTTTGATATGCAGGAACGAAGAGTTGGACGAGAACCAGCCGGGTCTAAGCGTGATTACAAAGAAAATAATAATGTTGGTGGATCAAAATCGGTCAACCACCAGCATCGTGAAACTGCTTCTAAATTTACGGATAGTGACAGTGGTACGAGCCGTGACCAGCCATCTACCTGGAGATAGTTTCCCGGAAGGAGAAGCATGTCAGTGAATTTAGATTCTCTTTTCTGCAAGATTTTGGATGATTTCTCATAAATTCTTGATGTTTCTCCTCTGATTTTAGTGTCATAGAATCTGTATCATCAATTTATTTATTTATTTATATAGAAATAGCAAAATAACTTCCGATTATGCATCATCATCTGCTGTCATCGAATCTCAGGTTCTTTTTGTATATTTAAATCAGTTGATTCTATGATACAATTTGTATTTCTGTAATCTTAGGTAGAATATGCCATCAGAAGGCATAGATTTTCCAATTTTCATCTTTCTTCCACATCATGTTTGTTAGCTTGTCTCAGTCACTATGCTGTCCTTTGTTCTTTTAGTGCCACCATCCATCTCTTTCTATATTACATTTTCTTAACCCATGTATCTAGTACAGTATAAAACATCCATCAAGATCACCGCGAGAGCGCCGTGATCATAGGGTATGCCTCAGAGAGCTGCTGATGAAGCAACTGTTTGAGATAGGCAGAAAATAGGTTGCTTTGAGGATTGGATTGATTTGTGATGTTGACCTTTTAGCCAGAACGTCATGTTGAACCAAATTCACTGCACTAGCCTTAGAATCTGCTTAGTTTTGTGTATGTTTTGGTTGGTGTACAATAAAACCAGTCAGCTGAGCATATTCCAGGGTGGAGTTGGGGTCATGGGTTTTGATCCCCCGCTTTGAATGTTTTTGCTTGCCTGGATAACTGGACACTTTGACAAATGACAATGGAGACTTGCCTGTGAAGCATGATAAGGACACTTTATTTGTTTTGTGAAATGAGCTGTTTGGATGGATGTATTAGGCCACTTTTGTTTTTCTGTTGTTGGTCCACCACAATCCACATCTCTTTTAGAGCTATTGGCATACAGAACAAAATTAGAGTCCCTTTTATATGTTACCATAAGCGTTTTGCTTTTTCCCTTTGATCAGTTTATCTCATTAGAGATTAAAAAAGCAAGGAATTTAATAACATAAGTCATTTGTTTTTTTAGTTTTTACTATAACGGTGCATGTAAAATATGTCGTATATTGCATTTCATATTTTACATTCCAAAAAGTTAGAGGCGATCCTTTCTATTCTTACTAATTATCAAACAATATTATTAGGATGTTTTGCATTAGACGTTTGTAAGTTCGATTTTCGATTCTCAACCATTGCTATTTCAAGTAAACGTGTTGTAACTCATTCATAAACAATTTTTTTTATTATTATTATTTCTTTTAATCTTGTACGGTTTTTGCTCGGTCTTAGTCTTTGGTCCCGGAGTGAAGTGACAGTTTAGGAAGTTCTCAATCTATCTCGTGTCTCGTGTAGTTCTCAATGTCAATTTGTAATATCGAAGTTGAATCTGGTAGATTCAAAAGAAGGGGAAAAAAAATGGTTAAATACAGCACCATTATTTGGTCTTTTTTTTTTTTTAATTTTTAGTTTCCATTTTACTAAATTAGAAGGTACTTTATTCATACTTTCATAGGTGACTTTTGGTTCAGATCTATCACAAACCAATAAAGAAAATACTGTTTTGTTAGTCTATAATAGGACTTTTATGTGAGTAAGTTAAAAGGTTGAAAAGTGAACCCAAATAATAAGGTACTTGAAGACTAAGGCTCCCCATTCATTTTTATTAAATAAAGCTTGTCCCATTGCAATTATTGGAGTAGTAAAGAGCTACTTGTTGGAAGTAGCCGGAAAATGTGCATTTCATGTGATGCTTTTTAATGAAACCAACAAGATATCCCATTTAAAAACAGCTCAAAAATGTACCCAAAAAACAAATGATTTTGACATTCGAACTGCCAGAGTATTTTAATGTGCCCCCCTTTAGTGGCCCTTCGTGCTGGAAACGGAGAACAGCCCGCCAAAGCTAGAAGTGAAACGATACTATATTTCATCCGACTCAAAAATATAATTCTAAAAAAAAAAAATTCAATTATTTTCTTAGAACGGATGAGAAAGTAAAGACCAAGAGAATTTCTCCTGGTAACCACAAAGACTCTTTCTATTTGTTTTATCAGGTAATTCTATTATTTCGTGAAGGAGTGTATTATTGAGATTGACGAGTCCATATCTAACGAGAATTATTGCACAGGTCCATCCGCCAATTATAGTCCAACCGAGTTCACAGAGGCGATTCGGTAATAAAAAATCTATTAGGATTCAGACATTTTTCAAGATAATTCCATGCCTATAAATAGGGTTGATCACACTACAATTGAGGTACGCTATCTCTAGTACTCATAAACAGATACACACTTCTCCATAACTCTATTTTCTGACTTAAGCATCGAAGTGTCTACTCACGAGAGACCCCCGAGACTCTGTTTTGTAGGAAACCCTACCGGAGTGCCACTGCTAAGCCGATAATACAATTTCAGGTACCGTCAAGTGGCACGCTCAGTGGGACCCGAAAACTAGGGTTTGTGTCACAAGCTTTTTTTCAAGCTTCCAAAGATTTTATAACCTTTCACTGCCGTTATAAGTTAGGGTTATCCCCCGAAAAATATGGTTGTAGTCGGCGAATCTCAATCCAGCACGGATCATCAGCCAAATGGCGGAGCCCCATTGACCATGAAACCATGGTAAGTTCCAAGAACAATATAAGCAAAAAAAGAGCAACCGACAGTCAAGGAAAGAAAAAACTCCCACACAACCATCTAATCCTGCTGACGAGAGGGTAGAAAGACCAAGCAAACACGCCAAAGCATATGATCCACGGGATGAGGAGCAATTGGTTGAACTCGAAGTAGAACTCAAGAAGTTGCAAGATGATACCACTCTTAAACCAAGAAAAAAAAAGTATGTATTAGAAGAATACTGACGCCATTATTTGCTCGGCCAACCTTATCCAACAGAGCAGGAATTAAAAGACATAATCGATGAGAAAGAAGCACGCAGGACGTTGGCCTTGCTCGAGAAGAAAAATGGCAAACGTAAAGTTCTAGACGAGGAAGGTGAGGAAGGTTACAAGGAAACCCCTAATCACGAGATCTCCCATGAAGAATATTCAACTACTCGTAGCACAGCCTTCTGGGATGCATTTGGAAGAGCGTACCCTGCATTCGAAACAGCACTCGAAGAATTTGCCAAGGGATATCAGCACAAGAAGCAATCTCGCACCCAATGTCGCAAAGGCTCACCTAGCATCGAGCTTGTATCCCAAAAAGATTGGAATGGGACCAAAAGTCCCGCTGGAGAAACATCACCATGAGAACGAGGACGTGTATTGAGAACCACCTCGAAGAACAGATTATCCTCGAGGAGATCGTTGCCGGGTGATCATTATTATCCACGGCGACCCCCTCAGCCTCAACAGAAGGAATGGTATCCCCGAGAAGAACCATACATTCCTTGGAATCAGAGAGAAGTTGGCAACCAAAATTTGTCCGTCCGAGAAAAGATGAGAAGAATGATAGGAATGATCATGGATAGGAGTCCGTTTATACCTGAGATCCGAGATTGTTTGAAACCTTAAGACTTCGACTTTCCTAGAGATTTCGTGAAGTGTTCAGGAGATTCTGACCCCCAGCGATTTCTGCACTCATACGTCCATGTCATGAGAATCAGAAACGCACTGTTGGACTTCATGGCCAAAGCTCTTTCATCCTATCTCACGACAAGCACAATGGTGGTTTGGACAATTAATGGAAGGAAGTATAACCAGTTTTGAAGATCTATCAGTGAAATCGGCAACTCGCTTTTTTCTTAGCAAGCAAATCACAAGAATGTCTATTGACCTCTCGTCGATAAAACAGGGCCAAAACGAGAGCCTCTCCGATTTTCATTGGTGCTTCATTCGAGAAACTCTCCAGGTCGATCGCCTTGAGGATAGAGACGTACAGAACGGGTTCATCCAGGGCCTCAACCCATTTGGGAAATCTTCCACCCTAAGGGTAAAACTGTCCACTAAGCCCCCTCGCAATACACAGGAAATGTGGGTTATGGTTAAAAGTTACATCCAGTGAGAACAGACGCTTAAGAGTTCACAGGAATCCTTCTCGTTAACAACAGATCAAGGGTCAAGGGACAGACCCAAATCGGTAACAGAATCTATAGCAACATTGCCCAAGCTCGATAGAAAGTTGACTCCATTACTGAAGCCGAGAAATCCTCCAGATTCACAAGGACGAGCTTCCTGTTCCAAAGCCTTTGGCCCCAAATCCTAATAGGTTGATGGATCAATACTGCGAGTATCACAAGGATCACGGTCACGATACTGAGGGTTGCAGAGAGTTAAAACGAGAAATCGAGGATGGTGTAAAGTCAGGGAAATTCCAACAGTATGTACAAGGCACTGTTCGACAAAAAGGAGGAAAGTTCAAGGGATCTCGTATTCTCGAGGCCCTAGAGGAGGTAATCGAGGGAACAATTAGATGCCAAGGAACAATGCACGACAATCTGCTCAGCAATCACTCGATGGGGGACCACAACCACTCCAGCAAGTTCCTCTAGCAAATCCTGCTAAGCAGATCACTCACAATGTAGGGGCCATCTATGGTGCACCTCTCGAGGTTCTCTCTACCACAGATATGAAGGCATCGGTTCGAGAAGTAACCAAGACTCCTCCTCAGGAACCCAGCCATAAACGATTTAAGGGAACTTAGACAATAGTCTTCACTGACAGTGATCTAGTCCCAGGTTTATGCCCACACAGCGACGCCATGGTTATTGAAGCCATCATAAGAAATGTTCATGTGAGCCGCGTGTACGCCGACAATGGCAGTGCAGTCGACATCATCTACAACGACTATTTTAAGAAGATGAATATCCAGAATCCAGACTGGCGTCCAGCGACATTGCCACTAATGGGCTTTTTCGGGGACACGATTGTCCCCAGTGGAATCGTTAGGCTTCCTATCATAGAAGGGTCGCATCCTCGAATGGTAACCTTAACTATGGACTTTGCCATCATTGATAGACCCTCGCCGTTCAATGTGATCTTAGGACGGCCATGGATGTGCCAAGCCCGTACTGTTTGGTCCCCCTACCATCTAATATGGGATACGGCTAGTACAAGGGTGCCAACGCAGTTCTCGAGAATACCTCCGCACAGCAGTAAAAAGCGAGAAGATTTCGGTAAAATCCGGAATTACTACCACCGTATCCGGGTGTTATTCAGTTCAACAAGGAGTATTATCGCTCAAATCCAGGCAAGAAAAGCAACCCATGGATCTCGGCCTTTCACGTCAACCTCCACCTCAGTAGCAAAACAGAGGAGTTAGTTCTAGACGAGAGGGAACCAGAAAAAAAGATCCAGTTTGGAGTGTCCATAGATGGAACTTTACGGGCTGAGGTAATCGCCTTGCTACACGAATTCTGAGACATATTTGCCTGGGCACCATCTTATATGACCGGGGTTCCTCGACAAATCATCGAGCACAAGCTAAATGTGGACCCCAACTAAGCCAGTACAACAGAAGAAGAGAATCTTTACTCGAGATCGCAATGATGTCATCAACGAGGAAACACTCAAGTTAGTCCGCGCTAATATTCTTCGAGAAGTCCTCTGGCCCACATGGTTGGCCAATCATGTTCTCGTCCGAAAGCCTGATAACTCCTAGCGTATGTGCCAAGATTACACCGACCTCAACAAATATTTCCCCCATGATTGCTATTCTCTACCGGTTATCGATCAAATGGTCAAAGGAATCACCAGGTTCAGAACTCTTAGCTTCCTCGACGCTTACAAGGGATACCATCAGATACTCATAGCTCAGGAAGATGCAGAAAAAATGGCTTACATTACGGAAATCGAATCTATTGCTACGATAAGATGCCATTTGGATTGAATAACGCTGGAGCTACCTACCGGCGGTTGGTTAACTGGGCTTTTGATGAGCAAATCGGGTGTATCATCGAGATCTATGTGGATGACATGGTCATCAAAAGTAATCTCGCCGACAAAGTAGTGAAGTACATACGAGAAATCTTCACGATTCTCCACAAAATCAACATGAAATTCAATCTAAAGAAGAGTGCCTTCTGTGTTGGTTCAGGGAAATTCCTAGGTTTTCAAGTCTCCAAGGATGGCATAAGCATGGATCCCACGAAGGTCGAGCCAATCCTCTCTATGGAGACTCCCAAGACGGTAAAAGAAGTCCAGAAACTTACTGGCTCTCTGGCAGCAT